CGCGCATCGAAGGGTTTGGACCTGACGCTTTCGCTCTGCTTCGAGAACTCGACGAGAGCGATCGATTCGTCCAAAAATCAGCCGAATCGACTTCGATGTGGCCGAGCTAGAGAATTTCAAAGTTTGGTCGGGACGTCCCGGCTCACCGGTTGATTTCCACGCAGGCGCCGCGCGCGACCGCGACCTCAAGCTCCTCAACAAGATGCGGCCCTTCGTCATCCTCGGCTTCTGCTGGAGTCTCTTCTCCGTGTTATCCATCTACAGCGAGACCGAGAAGGTGGTCAACCGGAGCGCCTGGGACAGGGCAGCAAAAGAGAGCGAAATTCCCAACTTCAAAGGCTCCTATCTCGGCCGTTTTCCGCTCGTTTCGGCTGATTTTTGGACGAGCGATCATCTCTCGGAGCGCTCTCGAAGCGTGGACGCTTTTTCCGGAACGCGCGCGCGCGGAACACTCACGTTGAAGCGACGTTGAATCTATCTTGTCCTGCCCAGGCCTGGGAGGCGAGCTTCGACGACTGGGGCGACTGCCTCCTCGCGCACTGGGCTCTGCCGAAAAAAGGCCAGAAGGACGCGTGCGGCGTCGTGCCGAAGCACCTCGAGCCCGGCGCGGCCTCGACGCTCGCGCGGCGCGGCGCGGATGCCGACCGCCGGTTCGGGGGGCGACCGCCGCGCTCCGGAACGCTCGAGCTCGGTCGCGGTCGATTCGGCCGACGTTCGGACGACTCGCGCGCGCTCGTCGAGCGCTCGACGCGCGGCCGAAGACGTCGGTCCACGCCGGTCGACGACGCGCACGTCGAAGATGTGGCATCCACGCAGGGGCAGCAGTTGTTCAGCATGCGGTGGACCGCCAACTTCGTGGTCGTGCCCCTCGTCATCGTCGCCGCCCGCGCGCGAATCACATCTCCAACTCGAATGCAACGTGAGCTTATTCGAATGTTTCGACGCGAGCACTTCCGCCGTGCTTCGAGACCTCGATGAGAGCGATCGATCCGTCCAAAAATCAGCCGAATCGACTTCGATGCGACCGAGCGAGAGCATTTCAAAGTTTGGTCGGGACGTCCCGAACCAGCGGTCGATGCGCACGCAGAGCGCCGCGTGGTGGGTCCTCTACACGCACAACGCGTCCGTCAAGCTCTGGATCAAGCACTACCCGGCCATGGCGAAGGTGCTGCCGTCGCCGCACCGCAAGCGCGACCCCGTCGACCGCGTGTGCTCCGCCGCGACGTCGATGCTCGCGTCCGTCGACAGCTCGCTCGCGGACGTGCTCAAGGACACGGACCTCGCGTCGTCGGCCATCCCGGACACCATCGAGGAGGACACCAAGGGATGGTCGAATGGAGCCCTTCCAGAGCTCGCTTACGAGAGTGACCCGACCCGACCGTGACCGCAGGCCGC